TTTCCTTCTCCAGGGGATCTTCCCAACCCAGGGATCAAACCTGTGTCTCTTAAAAAAACAAACAAAAAAAACCTGTGTCTCTTATGTCTCCTAGGTTCTCTACCAGTAGCGCCGCAGTTATTTGTGTCCAAGCCTGCCTCTCAGCCTGGGTTGCAACCCCCTAAAGGACAGTAGCGTCCTCTCACTCACCCCTGTAGCCTAACCCTTGTACAATGTCAGTGCTTCAGAAATCCTGGCTTCCTTGATGAAACGCATTGAACTTGACTTTGGGAAGTTCCTTCAGCACGCTCAGAGTCCTCTTCTGAATCTCCCTGGTGTGGGCAGTCTGTGTCCTTTAAGGGTAGATATGACTCCAAGAAAACATGGAAAGTGGTCATTCTACCCCAAATTTGGTGAATGAACTGAGCAATGCCAATCTTGTCCTATAAATAAATTTACAAGGCTGGGTTCCTTGCGCAGCTCCTAAGCCAGGTTTAGCTGCCATTCCGCTAGAAGCTTTCCAAAATGTATCTCGAGCAGAGCCTTTAGAACAGGAGGGTGGAGTCCCAAGACCAAGGCTCCTCTGGACGCAGCAGGCATTCCTGTGTGAAGCTGTAATGCTGAGATTGGCCACTAGAGGGAGGATGCGTTCTAGGCCCCAGGGGAGCCTCGCAATTGCTCCAAGAACTTTATAAAGCCTGGCGGCCAGTGCAGCTGCAGTTCACGGCTCAGTCAGTACCTAGCGGAGCCGCTGGTGCCTCCACAGAACATCTCGCACGCTGCCCGAGGCTGAACGAGGCCAGACACCAAGGGACTCCCACTTGGGCACGAGGTTGAGTCTTGCCTCCCGATCTGATCCTCCTGGAGAAGTGACCCCCGAGACCCTGGGCACAGCGCAGTCTCTTCCTATGACTCCGTCTGGATTCGGCTGGCAGTGGGGACGAGCTCTGAGGGGCTGCCTGGGTCTCGGGGTGGGGGCAGTGGCCAGCTCTCCAGCCAGCATGGCAAATGCCAGGAACTGAGGGGACAGGTTCTGCAGCTTCACTGGGGGCACTCAGGTGAGTCTGGGCACTGACTGTCCTGGCACCTGGGCATGGCTTCCTAAAGGCAGCCGGGGGACACAGGGCATGGGCTTGGGCATCGCGTGGAGGTGCAGGTCCTGGGAGATCTGCCAGGTTTTCATCCATCTGCCTGGGCTGGTGAGTGTGGGTATTTGGGAGCCAGAGGAAGTGATCGCCTTAGTGGCAACTCTGCCTGGCTTGCGTCAGAGCTCCAGAGCCTCTTCAGGGAGCAGATGGTACAGGTGCCAGTCTCTCCACGTGTGTGGTGAATGTGTGTGCATGCGTGTGCCTGTGGGTGTGCCCGGCGGTGGAACATAGGAAGGCAGAGCTTATTTATAAACCATCTGCACCTCTCTAGTTCTCAGTGATGCTTCAGATGAACTGAGCACAGTTAGAGGAGGAAAGGGCTTAAAACCTCCTTAGCGATTCTCTCTCCAGAGAAGACCTTGTTCACGGTGATCCCTATCTGATTTTGAGGAGTTATGAGCCCTATAGAGTTAAATGCTGGAACCCAGCAAGGCTGGGGCCACCCCTCTGCAGGAAGAATTGATTGAGTCCTGCTGCTGCCTGGAAGGGGGCTTTGAGAATCAAGGTGCGGCTCCCAGGTCTGGTCTGCATTCGCGATTGCTTTTGCAAAGGGGTCCACATGACATTGTTTCTGGGACTAGCTAGGAGGTCGAGGGGACCCAGAGACCCCTGCACCAGGCTGCTTGGCAGGATCAGAAGATGCCGGGGGACTGTGGGTGGTCACCCGGCTCCACCACTCTCTCCCCACCTGCCCCATCCATACAGCCCTCCCACATGCCCTGTTCCACAGGAGACTCACAGAGCCCGTGTGGCTGGGAGGTGCGTCCTCCCCATTGCAAAGGCTGAGGCTGGATGTGTTAGCTGACGGACCAAGCTCTCCAGGGATAAGATGTGGCACCAGCTTGGGACCCCCTGTCCTCTGAGCCCCGACTCCCCACAGGTCACTTTGGTGTCTACACCCTGCCCAGGTTTCCATGGCACTGGCCCCCTCCCTTCCAGCTCTCTTGGTTCCAGGGCCCCCACCTGGCCCTCTTCCCTGCATCACTTTGGGACCGACAGGCGGCCACCGAAAGGGACCGACACATGCATCCTGGCCGGAGAAGCCTCGTGTGGGGCCAGTGCCCTGGGTGGGGTTAAATGCTGGAACTCGTCCTCTCTGATATTCTTCGGGATGCCACTTGCCCCTTCCCAGTGCCCCTGGGAGGCAGGGAGCTCCTGATGGTGTACGGTCTGTATGGTGTGGGACGCACATACACACATGCTCCAGGGGTGGGGGGTGGAGGCTGGAGGCACTGCTCTATCATCACCACACTTGGCAGTCAGTTGCTCAGACTTGGCCCAAAGGCTCTGCAACCAATGATGGGAAGGTCTAAATTCCTGCCCCCCATTCCTCAAGAAAGAAAAACAGTCCCAAATAAAACCTGGGGCAGACAGAAAGCTCTTAGGTTTCATTCCCCAGTAACAAACATTAGCAGAGTCGGCTGAGCGCTTCCCATCTCAGCGCGCTCACATCTGGCCCCTCTTCTTCTCCCCCACCCCCAGGCTCTAGCTCCACCAGCTGAGGGGTGGGGAGGGGGCCGGGAGGGGCCGCCCCGACAGACACATTCCAGATAAGGAGCCCCGCCTCCCAGCTCTGGTCCAGGAGCTGATGGACAGAGAGAGAAGGTGGAAAGGCAGATGGGGAAACTGGAGCAGCCCCAGCTCTGCACCTCCGCCCTGGCACTCCGTGCCCCCACAGGCTCTGGCAGCAGCTGCTGTTGCCTTTGGCAGAGAGAGGGTTCCCCCTCTCAGAGGAGACACTGGCCTCCTGCTTCGCCGCTCCCCAGGACTGAGGCCAGAGGGTGGGGTGCCGCACAGAGCGCTCGTGAAATGAGGGTGTGTCCTCTATAGCTTAGCAGCGGAGCCGCCTGGGGCCCCACCTCCAGGCCCTCCCTGGGTGGAGGACTTGGACAGAGGGCCGGCATCAGAGACTCAAAAACTGGACAGAACTGCAGCCCGGCAGAAGATGGGTTCAGGGCTCCAGGAACCCCAGGGGGCAGGGAGGAGAGAGGCTGGCAGGGCTGTGGGCTCGCCTCCACCCCTTCCTCCCAGAGGCTGGGGGGAAGGCCCACAGGGTCTAGGAACACCCTGAGTGGGCATGTGCATATATGCATATGTGTGTACACGTGTGCAAGGCCTATGGCTTCTCATCACTGGAGGTCAAAAGCAGACACCCCATCCATCCCTCCAGGGCTAGTGGAAAGACAGGTGGATGGCCCCTGTAGGCTCTGGCCTCCTCTAAGCCCTGAGGTCATAGGTCCCTGGAAAGAAAGGTCAGGTCATGAAAATAGGGGATTTGTGTTTGCTGTGTCTGGCAGAGGGATCCAGCCAGCCTCTTCCTTCACTGTCCCCACTTACTAGAATGGGGTGTTGCCTCTTCCCTTCAGTCAGCAGCCGGTGTCCCCTTCTGGCCACGTGCCAGGCCCTACTCCCTCTCCCAGCTGGCTCTCTGGTCATCAGGGTCGAGCTGGCTCCATGCTGGGCCTAGGACCCACTCATCCTCCCAGGGCATTTATCTTCCAAAGAATCCACTCTTTAAAAGTGGATTTTTTTGGTTCAATATCCATATAGCTATGGGCTTTCCTGGTGGCTCAGTGGTAAAGAATCTACCTGCAATGCAGGAGGCCTGGGTTTGATCCCTGGGTTGGGAAGATCCCCTGGTAGAGGGAATGGCTACCTGCTCCAGTATTCTTGCCTGGAGAATTCCATGGACAGATGAACCTAGTGGGCTACAGGCCATGGGGTTGCAAACAGTTGGACACAACTTAGTGACTAAACAACAACAATCTACATAAAGAGTATCAGAACCAAAAGTCAACATAAACTAATGACTGGAAGTGAGCTAAAAGCAGAGAGTCATTTATGAAACCACTGAGCGTCTATGTGGGAAAAGAATATCCAGTATTTTATGTAAATAAACACTTTGTGATCCAACCCCACAAATGAATTCTTGTGATTATACAAAGAACGCAAACATATCGTAGAAAACCCAAAAAATAGAGAAAACAAAACGAAGCGCAAATCCCCACAAGCCCCACCAGATTCCTGGAACACGTCTCACCCGGAGAAACCCAGAACATCTCCACATATAATCTCCCGTAGTGTACTCTGGAATGTGTAGATATTGCAAAATGGGATCGCGTGGTGCGCGCTTGTGTAAACGGGGCTGGGTCATTTCAAATAGTGTGGCACCTCCCCGTGTCGAGGGGGCATTCCTGGAATTCCATTGGGTCCACTCAAAGCCCCAGCCACCCAGGAGACCATCCGGACACCAGGGCCCTCTCCTGGTCTAGGGCTGCCCAGGCCTTAGTGTCTAGGGAACCCCACCAAGGCCTCCTGCTCCCCTGACTCCCATGGGGGTCAGTCCTGGCTGTGGCCCCCTGAACCCAGCTTATCTGACCATGCCAGCCCAGCCAAGTTTGGGAACAGTTCTGGTTTCAGTTCTGGTCTGGTGGTCTCTGTACTGTTTCATAGCCTAGTTTCCCCCATTTCCAACACAGAGCAGAAACCCCAGTCTCCCTGCCGTGCCCAGGACTCCAGAAGCTTGGAGAGTCTTCTGTGTGGCTCAGGAGGTTTGGCCCGTCCCAGCCCCCGCTGGCATGGCCTCCAGCCCCACCCAGAGCCATGAGAGGGAGAGGACAGAGCTCATGGTCAGAAAGGTCCCCAGGACTGTGACCTCTCCAAGCCAAGGAAGTTGAGGAGGGGATTCGGATCCTGGTGGCTGACGCCTGCTGATGGGGGAGGGTCCCAGTGTTCAGGCTTGGGGTCATCACGAGGTGGTCATGCTTGGGGGCATCCAGGTGATGCCTTGCTCTACAGATTCATTTCCATCTCCAACTACAGCTTATTCTCTCTCCCCTGTATCTGCCCTCTTCTCTCCTGCTGCAGGACACGATGGAGAACAAAGCCATGTACCTGCACGCCACCGTGAGCGACCGCGACTCCAGCTCCATCTTTGAGGAGCCCTTTGATGGCAGGAGCCTGTCCAAGCTGAACCTGTGTGAGGATGGTGAGTGCCGTGGGCTGGGTCCTGGCTTCGAGGTCAGCCCTGCCCTCCCCCACCCTGCCACCCCATCCCCCCATCGCCGCCTAATACCGCATAGGTTGAACTTCCTGCTCAGAAAGGTCTTTCCTCATTCATGCATCTCAACACACCTATGTAACCAAAAACGAGACCCACTTCACAATGACCTAGCGCACACCACACTGAGAAAAGCGTCAGGCATCACTCAGCTCGGGCTTCCCTGGTGGCCCAGTAGTAAAGAAGCCACCTGCCAGTGTAGGAGACCCGAGTTTGATCCCTGGGTCAGGAAGATCCCCTGGAGAAGGGACTGGTAACTCACTCCAGTATTCTTGCCTGGAGAGTCCCCATGGCCAGAGGAGCCTGGTGGGCTACAGTCCATGGGGTTGCAAAGAGTCTGACGTGACTGAGCAACTAAACAATAACAATTACATATCCCGTCAGTCACAGAGCAGCCCCAGCACTGGCTCTCCTCACTCTGAGCGCAGTCCTTCTGCCTGCCATCCTCTCCTCTTCAGTGAGGCTGGGGTCACGCAAAAGGCAACTGAACCAAGAAGCCCAGACCCCTTCAGGTGACAGATCTTCAATCTGCTTCCCAAAGCTTTTGCAAGGAGGGATGCACCTCTCCAGGGTGCTCATCCTCCCCTGAGACGAAGGCCCCAGGTCATGGAGCAGAAAGGGACCCCTTCTCACTGCACCGCACTGCATCTTTGGGGGCTAAAACCCTGGAGCAAATGGATACAGTTTCCTTCTGAGGAGTTCAGAGCATCTTGCCAACAGCTGGCTCCTAAGCATCCAATAGAGCTCCACACTTAGTAGGTGCTTAATAAATGCTTGTTGCCTGAATGAACACACTCCTCTTTGCAGTTAGTATAGGAGAGCTTCATCCCCACTTCAAAGATGAACTGAAGGAAACTCACGTGAGAGTTTTGTGAAGATTTGTGACCAGTGAGATGGAGATTGGCTATCTTGTTTCTCCAGGGAAACGGAACCAGTATGATGTCTACACTTATGAAGAGACTGATTATGAGGAATTGACTCACCTGGCTATGCAGGATGGGAAGTCCCGTGATCTTCCCTCTGTAGGCTGGAGACTCAGCAAAGCCAGTGGTGTAGATCAGTCTGAGTCAGAAGGCCTGAGAACTAGAGAAACCAATGGTGTTAGTCACAATCTGAGGGCCAGAGAGGATGAGATGCTATGTCCCAGCTCCAGCGAGCAGACAGGAAGTAAAAAAGCAAATGCTGCCATCTTTTGTTGTATTCAGACCCTCCCACCCACATTGGGGAGAACAGTCTGCTCTGATTCCACCAATTCAAAAGCTAATCTCATCCAGAAACACCCTCAGAGGCACCCAGAATGTTTAATCTGGGTACCCCACGGCCAACCAAGTTGACATACAATCAACCATTCCAGATGCCTTTATTCAAACTTTTTCTCAAGCACTGCGTTTCATTGTGTTCCACTCTGCCAGTTGCCTTTGTCTGGAAATTCCTTAAAATTAGAAATGACTCCTCATTCGGCCCCGTCTTTCCTCCCACCAGGTGCTGAGTGCAGGGAGGGAAGATGGGTGGCTCAGGCAGGGATTGGGGATTGTCTCAGCAGGGACAGGAAAGAGGAGATCTGGGCTTCTTTCCAGGTGGTGCTAGTGGTACAGAATCCATCTGCCAAGATCCCCTGGAGGAGGGCATGGCAACCTACTCCAGTATTCTTGCCTGGAGAATCCCAGGGACAGAGGAGCCTGGCGGGCTACAGTCCATGGGGTCTCAAAGAGTTGGGCACAACTGAAGTGACTTAGCTCGCACACACTTGCCCTAGTAAAAATCCCACCATCAGAACTGTTTCTCTGGATTCCAGTTAACAGACACATTTTGAGGACCCACAATGTGTCAAGGTATGGGTTAGATGCCAGAGATGCTCCAGAGAGAAATTAAACCATTCTTGCCTTCCAAGGGCTTCTGATCCCAGTGGAAGGGACTGGCATGGAGACAGTTACCCACCACGTAAAGGAGGTCAAAATATGTGATTATTAAAGTCAAGAAGGATGAACACTTTCTGGTAAAGGCTTTAAAGACCGAATACCATTTTGTAAGAGAAGAGGTAGATGGGAAAATATTAGCAGCTGAGCTGCACTGAGACAGGCCAGTGTTTCTGTCAAGTTAATGACACCCGGGAAGAGATGAAGGACCCCGGGGTGCTGACTCCCTAGTCAGTGCTCAGCTGTTCCCCATCATCACATCCACAAAGGCCAAGGTGGCTTTCCAACTACCCTCTCTCCCCACCAGCCCATCAATAAACAGGCCTGGTTTGGCAAGAAAGAACTAGGGTACAGCTCAGAGGGGTAATTGTAGGGTCATGAGGGCCAGTATTGGGTACCAGTGGGGAAAGTCATGGCAGGGAGACCCTGGGGTGGGAAGACGCCTGGGGAGCTGTTGTTGGGTCATCATATCTCCTTCTCTTGACCTCATCATACCCCTCCTTTTCTGCACCTGGGATTTAAAAGGCCCTTTGGGGCTTCCCTGATGCCTCAGACGGTAAAGAATCTACCTCCAGGGCGGGAGACCCAGGTTCAATCTTTGGGTTGGGAAGATCCCCTGGAGAAGGAAATGGCAATCTGCTCCAGTTGCCTGGAAAATTCCATGGACAGAGGAGCCCAGTGGGCTACAGTCCATGGGGTTGCAAAGAGTTGGACATGACTGAGTGACTGAGCACATGGGTGAACAAAGACAGGGATCCCTGAAATCTAAAGGAGGCAGATCAATTCTAAACCTGATTTCCACATTGTCTGGGTCTCCTCCACGCTCATTCCGGGATGCCAGACATGGGGTGGGGGCGTGAGGACGCTGGAAAGACCGGAGTATTGAGATGGAACAGCCACCTAAAAGCTCCTGGGTTTCTTGGATTTCCCCCTTCCTTGTCACTTCTAAGAGGAAAATGGTGAGCTCCGACTTGGGGAAATTCAAGCCAGATTTGGTCTGTTCCCCCAGCACTTGGCTTCTTTGACCCTCATCTCTGGAGAGGGAGGAAGGGGTGGGGCTGGCAGGGGCAGAGAGAGGTGGACTGGAGAGCCGAGGTGGGGACCTGCCCGCCCCCCAGGCTTTGAGTCAATGAAAGCAGAGTTGCTGAGGCTCCAAGTCCCTCCCAGTATTTTCCCCTTGAAGGCAGGGAGGTGGGAAGGGGAGGTGCCTCCCCTTGGCCCCCGGGATCTTAAGATCAGTGGAAGCAAAGCTGAAAAAAACTGCAGCCTAGATATTGAGGTATGCGTGTGTATTCAGTTGTTTCCAGCTCTTTGCTGGAGCCTGGCGGGCTATAGTCCAGGTTCCCCTGTCCATGGGGAAGCTCCAGGCAAGAACACTGGAGTGGGTTGTCATGCCCTCCTCCAGGGGATCTTCCCAACCCAGGGACTGAAGCCACGTCTTCTGTGTAGGACTCAGGCTGTAAGGCAGGAGGGACTTGAAAGTGTTAGGGTGTACATGCCTAATTTTCATGCACTGGCAACCCCTCCCCCCTCTCCTCCTTTCCTTTCCATCTGTCTTGTCCTCCTACCCTGCCTCCATCCCTTCCCCTCTGTTCACGGACCAGGGGAGGAGGAAGCTGAGGGGCTATTCAGGCTGCAGCTCCCCATCCCCGCCATGACAGCCCATCCTGCCCCTCTAGCGTGGTGTCTCCCACATCCTTTCAGGCTCTCTCCCTTGAGCCCTCAGCTCCGTGGTGACACCTTTGGGACCTCTTCATCCTCTGCACCCCTTGGCCCGGCCCCCTCTTAGCACCCCACCAGCCTCCTTCCTGTGTCTGAGCCCCACTGTGGACAGGACGGCGCCCAGGGCAGGTGCCTCCTCACGTCTGGGTCTCCAGTGGAGAACCCCATGGGTTTCACCTGTGTGGCTGGAATTCACGGGCAGGCTCATGGCAGAACGTGACCTCCAAAGTCTTCGCTCTGTGCCTGCCCCCTCCTCTCTTACCTCCGTGGTCCAGCCTTTCTCCTCCCGCCTGAAAGCTGAAGCCTCTCTTGTCTGGGGCCAGTAGGCGGAGGGCTGGGCGTGGGTGATGTTTGGCAGGACCTGGCCAGCGAGAGGTGTTAGTGTCAGAAAAAGATTGCAGCCATGCTCACCCCGCGGCCTCGGGCCCTCCACCACGCTCCGAGCATCATCCACCCTCTGCAAAAGGGCGGCCCGCGGAGGTAATGAGTTACACATGCGACGCCTGCAGCCGGGCCGCTTGCTGAGTGTAGGGTCCGAACTCCCTGTTCCCGCGTCCCTGCCCCATAAAATTAAATTATTCTCCTCGGGGAATCCCCACGTTTACTTTCTCAGCCATCAGACCTCCTCGGTTCATCCGGCGTAGCTGAGGGCTGGTGGGCAGCCGCCCAAAGGTGGGAGTGGATTTCCAGGGAGGCCCCCAGATATCTTGGTCCCGCCTCCTCCGCAGGTTGGAGAATCAGGCACCCAGGCCGGAGAGCAGAGATGTTAACCCGTGCGGTGCTGCGGGCACGCGCGCTGACTCCGGCTGTGCTTACTGGGGCTGGTGGGCGGGTGCAATCCTGGGTGTCTCTGGCCCCATTCTTTCCACAAGAGGGAAGGACAGCCAGGGAAGGTGCCAAGAGCCGGGAGACTGAACTTTGGCCAGCCTAGGATCTGTGCAGAGTGTCTTCCTTTGCCCCTTCACGCCCACCCCCTGCCACTCAGCGATCTGCCTTGTGGAAGACAGCGTGGAAGACCGGAGGTCGGCGTGTGTATTTCTCAGATCCTGCCCTATGGGGTCACCTTGGGCTGCTGTGTCCTTCCGCCTGAGGCAACAGCTCCTTGTAACCGCGCTCTGCACGTGGCTTTCTGCTTCCAGGCTCCAGTAAGTGCTGCCCGGGTGGGCTCTGAGAACACCACTCTGGCCCTTGTGGGCGTCTCACACCCTTGGCTGCACCTTTGCACAGATTCCCTTTTTTAAATCCTGTGACATCCTCTGATTTGAACGGGCTGTCTGCCTCACTGGGGTC